TTGATGTTGAAAATTTTGATACTTTTTGATAAACATTCAAAAGTTTATTTTTGATATTTTTCCTGTTAAGTACTCATTATTTAACTCATAAAATTTAATAATTCATTAATAGAAATATTCTGAAGAGTAAATATGGGTATTATACACCCTCTACAATGCTCCTTTAACATAAAATTGGCATGATACCCTGGCATTAAGCATTTGGTATTTTTTAATTGTGACAAGTGAATGGAAGTCCTGAAATGAAAGCCCAGAGGAAGTAAGAGATGTAAACAGGGTCAGATAATGCTGACCTCCTGGGAGAAGGTACAGAAGGCTGAACTCCATCTTCATGTAAAAGCTCTATTTGCTTTTCCAGATGCCCTGCTAGGGATCTTCATGTCAAAGCTTTTATTACTAAAATGTTTGTCCTTTTCTCAGCTTCACCTCACTTGTTTCTTCTGTTTTCTTTGCAGTGGATTTACCCACGTGGAAAGTAACAGCACAAACATTGTTGGCGTGGAAGCCAGGAGCAATGGAACAAGCATTCTGAGGTCCTATTGCTTCAAAATTCACCATGGCTGAAAGATTACCCCAGTTGGAGATACTCTTACTTTGGTAGAGCTTACATATATACAAAGACTAATTGACTGTGTTGTCAGCATTGGGAAAGGAATGAATAATGCTCAGATGGCCACTCTGTACCGTGCATACCGTACTCTGTGACTATTAAACCCTCATAACAAGCCAATGATGGAGATACTGTTATCTGTTCTTAAAGCAAGAAAGTAAAATTTAAAAGAGGAATTAGTTTTTATTAGCCTCCGTTTCAACTGCTAAGCAACCTGCCAAAGATTTTTCAGATCATAGGTGGCAGACAAGATGAATATAAGTCTGAGGGGACTAGAAAGCCCATGCTTCATGTAGTAAAATTATAAATTTTTTTGTTATGGTTTATGTTTAGGTGTTTCCCAAAAGCTCCATGTTTTCATAGTTGGGGCTTTTAAAGGGTGATTGAATCATGGGGGTTCTGTATCTACATGTGATGTTAGGAGGGGGCCTGGTCCGAAGAGACAGGTCACTGGGGGCATGACGTGGCAGAGGTATGTGCCGCCCAGGTTCCTTCCTTTGCCCTCTGCTTCTGGGTTGCCATGAGGTAAGTAGCTTTTCCTCTGCTGTGTCCCTCTGCCATTTCATTCTGTCCTGGGGCCAGCTGACCGTGGACTATAACCTTGAGCCAAAATAAAATTTCCTTCTTTAAGTTGCATTGGTCAGGTATTTTGTCTCAGTGACAAAGAAAGTGATTAAGACATTTTGTTATTCAAATATGCAATTAAGCAAAGAACATTTTTTTTTCATTCTGTTATGTGCCATAGACACATCACATAATTCTTGCTGTCTCATAGGTGAATTGTATGTTGCCATGTTGCATAACTCCATAGCTGCCATCTTTTATTTTGTATCCTTGGTGTCCCCTCTAATAGGTCACTTCTGAAAGGCCTGGCTGGGTCAAGGAATATATCACTCACAGTTCTTAATTGTGAGCAATAAGCATTGACATTGATTAGAACGGAAAAGGGGATTTATTGGAATGGAAGATTGGCATTACTTAATACTCTTCTGGATTTGGCAAGAAGTAGCAAGCCATAGTGAAGTTATAGGTAAATGAAATCTGTAATGAAGAATATTATATAATTTGTAGAAAATTGTGTTATGTCATTTATTGTAGTAAAAATAATATGTTGATAATGACAACCCCTCCCCTCCAATAGAATTAGTAGGT